TTGCAAACTGAAAAACAAAACTGTACAAATGGCAGCTGCATGACATGAGTTTCAGAAAGAGGCTAGGTTTAATATATACCCCATTCATTGTGTCTTCCAATCTCATGATTTCTATATTTCATAGTTTCAAAAGGCTTATCCATAATTTGAACAACTGAGGTTAATAATACAAGGGCTTTTTGTCAATCCAGCTAACTGAAAAACTTTATCACATTTCGCAGCCTGCCAAGAAACTGACCTTTATCTGCCGGTACATATATTTTTTAACATTTTATAGTTGAAGTCCAAATAAAAGCAGTTATCTCTGTCAGCCAATGATAATCTAGAAAGCGTCTAAGAACTGCCATTTCTAATTTCACAATAGAGGTGGCACAGAGAACAACACAATTTACACAACAACATGCAAATTTTATTAAGTTATGGTAATTATGCATTGGCAAGCAATGCAAATTAGACATGGAGCTCCAGTACATATATTCCTATTTCTCTACACTATAGAAGGATGTATAAAAATGGCTCCCTATTGTTAACATTTTGATACAGGGTATGAGTGAACACCGATTCAGACATGCATGTCCATTACTGGATTACTGCAATAACTGTGCATGAGAAGTACATGATAACCATAGCATCAGTGAAAGAATTTTCAAGTCATCTTAAACACAACATTAATCAAAGGGCTAAATTCAAACATTCATACCTCTTCTCAAGTGATGTGAAAAAGATCTGACTTGACAAACCAGGCTGCCGCTACATTTTCCAGCTATCTAAATAGTGTGCTTAAAGAAGGAAAATACTGCATTCATACATATATTACAATTCCTTGCAGTAACAAATGCAAGGTTTCCATTATTGAGCAAATAAATGGATGTATGCAAAAAATCAGACATATACTTGCATATACCAAAATCTAACCGACAAAAAACTGTAAATTATGGAATGTTTTTACAATTAAAACTCATTTTCACCATTCAGAGTACAGGTAGTCTTCAACTTACAACAGTTCGCTTAGTGATCTTCAGAGTTACAAGCACTGAAAAAGTGACTCATGACCATTTTTCACACTTATGACCGTTGCAACATCCCCATGATCACATGATTTACATTCGGGTGCTTGACAACTGACTCACATTTATGATGGTTGCAGTGTCCCGGAATCATGTGATTCCATTTTGTGACCTTCTGACAAGCAAAGTCAATGGGGAAATCAGGTTTATTTCACAGCCATGTTACTAATTTAATAACTGCAGTGATTCACTTAACAAATGTGGCAAGAAAAGTCATAAAATGGTGCAAAACTCACTTAACAAATTTGATTTGATTTATTTGATTTGTCAATCGCTAACAAGATAATAGGTATAAGTATAAACATACTGCAGTTATGAATATATGAAATGGAAGAAAAATAAAATATATAAGAAAAATAAAAGAAACAATAGGACAGGTACGGTAGGCACGTTGGTGCGCTTATGCATGCCCCCTACAGACCTCTTAGGAAAGGGGTGAGGTCAATTGTAGACAGTCTAAGGTTAAAGTTTTTGGGGTTTGGGGAAGAAACCAGAGTCAGGTAGAGTAGACAATGACCACTCTGTTGCTGAAGTCGTATTTCCTGCAATCAAGTTTGATGTGGTTTACCTTGAGTTTGTATCTATTGTGTGCTCTTGTATTGTTATGGTTGAAGCTGAAGTATTCATGGACAGGTAGGACATTGCAATGTATGATTTTATATACTATACTTAGATCGGACCGAAGACGGCGTAGTTCTAGATTTTCTAGGTCTAGAATTTCAAGTCTGGTGGTATAAGGTATTCTGCAATGAGTAGAGGAGTAGATAATTCTTCTTGTGAAATATTTCTGGACTTTCTCAACTGTGTTAATATCAGATACGTAATGTGGGTTCCAGACTGATGAGCTGTATTCAAGTATTGGTCTAGCAAATGTTTTGTATGCTCTAGTTAGTAGTGTGATATTACCAGAGAACTCTTCATGCTTTTTTGGCTATGTAGTTACAGTGGGCTCTAGCACTTAGATAATTAGAGATGAGTACTCCAAGGTCCTTGACAGAGTTTGGTTCATCAACAAGGTCTTGACTATTCAGCTTGTATTTTATTTTCTGATATTTTTTGCCAATATGTAAGACAGAGCATTTATTTGTTGAGATTTGAAGTTGCCATTTATTTGACCATTCTGATACATAGTCGATGTCTTTTTGAAGGGTAGCAGTATTGTTTGTGGTGTTGAATAGCTTTACATCATCAGCGAAGAGAACGCAGTTGCTCTTAATGTGATCACAGAGGTCATTTATGTAGAGTACGAAGAGAGTTGGTCCTAGAACACTGCCTTGGGGAACACCACTGTTGAGAGGTACAGAATTTGATAGGACACTCCCAATTTTGACCATTTGTTGTCTGTTTGACAGGAATGCTTCTATCCAGTTATGCAGTTGTCCAGAGATACCGTAAGATTTTAATTTTAGGAGTAGTTTGTTGTGTACCACTGAATCAAAGGCTTTACAGAAGTCTATGTAGATTGCATCTATTGCTTTGCCCTGATCGAGTTGTGTAGTCCATATGTTTTTGCAGTGTAAGGATTGCAGATTACAGGATAGTATTTTTCTGAAACCAAATTGTTTATTAGAGAGTAGGATAATGGATTGGTTAATGAATTGATTCCATGACTTTACAGGTGACGCAGCATAAAGAGATTGGTCTGTAATTTTCAACTAGGCTGAGCTCTTCCTTTTTGAAGATGGGGGTGACCATGGCTTGTGATCATAAGTTAGGCAAGGAGCTGGTCCTGAAAGATTTTTCAAATATTATGCTTAGAGGTTCGGATATGGCAGTGGATAGCTTTTTTAAGAAGTAGGCACATATTCCGTCCGGTCCAATAGATAGAGATGGTTTTAGATTGCGTAGTGCTTTTTCAATATTGTCTTCTGTAAAATCGATATGTATTAGATCATTGTAGTTGTCTGGTTTGACTAGGAAATACTGGGCATGATCCATTGCTGTTTACAAATACTGAGCCAAAGAATGTGTTAAAGAGGTTGGCTTTAATGGCGTCATTGTTGCAGTCCTTACCATCAGGTCCTTTCAGGGGTGGGATGGACCTTGAGTCTTTTAGTTTGTTGTTTACAAAATTGTAGAAAGTGCGGGTGGAATTGGTGCGTAGAAGGTTTTCCTTGTTTAATGTGATAACCCTAACCCTAACCCTAACCCTAACTTAAAATTTCTAATTTCTAACCCTAACCCTAATTTCTCACTTAGCAACATAAATTTTGGGCTCAACTGTGGTCGTACGCTGAGGACTACCTGTATAAGCATGAAGATGAAACAGAATCCTACATTTTAGTTGGACCTCTCAAGATTGATAAGAAAATTTGCAACCCTCCATAAGATAAATAACCTTCATTACATAGTATCAGCTTCCATGGTTATAATTTTTATAATAACTACATAAGCAGGACTTATGTTCTAAAGAGTTTAGAAGTCAGAGAACTATGGTCTTCTTCCCTTTATGCGTCATTCATTTCCTTCTCTGTGTTGTTCATATCCTGCCCGTGATCCAAGATTCTAGTCCATCTATTTTTTTTAATGCAAGACAATATTTGTATATATCCTGGTATGTTCTTTTTAAGCTAAAATGACATAAAGATTGCATTCTTTCTTAACAGTGGATTTATTCTAGCTTCTTGACTGTATCCTTTCCAACTACCTTCTTTGAGATGAATGATCAAAAAATTTCGCAGAACTTCAATTATATGCAGTAACTATAATTTTATAAATTCTTTAACAAATTGAATTTTTAAAATTATTATTCTTTTTAAAGATTCACCCCTTGATTTTCAACCAAATCAATAGTTTCATCACAATCCAACATCATTTTTGGTCAACTGCATCTAATGAAACTCCATCGGTACATCAGTGAAGAGAGGATATTTTGCCTTTATAAGCAATTTTACAGCTGCTTCTACTGAATACCATTTTCTTTCTGTTTCTCCAGTTTCAGAAATCCTTCAAGAGCTCTTCACCACTTTCTTTTTTAGTTTTGCTTCCTAAGATAAATTGGTATTGCAAACAAAGCAAATCCATCACTGTTCTTCCTAATAATTTAAGAATAAATTTTAAGTGTAGTACCAGTTTATACTCTCCTTTTGTGAAACAATTCTTTTGTTTCTACTCTCTGCTTTCCATCATTTAACTAGTTATTGGTTCATAAAAGGCTTCATCATTTTCTCTCATTATTTCAGATATGGCTCAAATATCTCTGGTGCAGGTCTTTGTCAAGGGTTTTTTTTTAATTTAAAAAGAGTCCAAGTAAACAATGTCAACCAAATCAGCCTTACAAACCAGCTTGCTGACATTCCAAAAGATCTATAAAAGATTACTGAGGCAAAACTTCTCTCTACAGAAGCCATGCTGAGTCAGCAAGATCTGTCCTTCTACATTTGTGGCACTTCTATCTTTAACAACAATTCCATCTTTCTACCAATTTATTCAGTAAGAAGTTAAAATAACCAGCTGTAACTTCCTGGAATCCTTTAAAAAAAATGGTATTACATATGGGACTACTTCAGTCCTCTAGATTAGAAGCCACTCTCAGAATACATTAACATAACCTGAATTTTAGTGCTTGTATGACGTAGTCAAATATGAACCACTGGATATTCTATGCAACATACCTGGTATCCTATGTGAATTGAAAGAATGACTCAGGAGAAAATGTTCCACTTAAGCACCTCAAATTTCTCATAGTCAGGTCATGAATTACAGAGACATCTACTTTTAAGATACCTCATTATTTAAGGAAAAACAGCAAGTTCCTTAAAAAACATTCAATATAGATGCTAAGCATATCAATTTGTAAAGGCAAAATAAGCAGTCAAGGGATACATCCCTTGGATTGTAATGTGCTATATATGATTTTTTTTTATTCTGCATCCTGGATGACAGTTCTTTGCAGCAGAGAACATACTGAAGGATAAAAAGAGTTTAACTGACCTGTATGCTGCCTCCGATGTTTGGTGAGGGCATGACGTGTCCCACCAGCAAAGCCACAAAGGTCACACAGGAATGACTTCTCGCCTGTTGCAATAATAAACAGATGAGGGACTGCAGAGGTCACAGATCATTAAAACATATCTATCAAGGCTTTCAGGGTTACTAATTCCTCCAATCAAATGTTTCCATGTAAATATGTCAAATGGGAATGAAATTACCACTGCGGTTTATTGACTGTGATAAAATCTGAAAAGCACCACTGAACATAATTACATACTTGTCAGACCCATAAAAATTAGCTTTATTATCAATGGAATGGTTTTGTACAACTTCATTTCTGTTAGATGTCTTCCAGATGGGGCTGCTTTATGCACTTGAACAGTTTTTATGCATATCCTGATTTTTTACAATTCCAATACATCTGGCCTTTCTGTGCTTTAGAAAGGCTGCCTAGAAATGCTAATATACAGTTATTCAGCATATGTGTGAGTGTGATTGTGTGTGCCATATCTCCTTAAATATTATATATATTATAGAGCCAAAAAACAGACAGAAGATATTAGAGACACCAATCAAGCAGA